CAAGACTTCTTCGGTACTGTCCCAAGACTCGTCACTGAGTGTCTGGATATCGGATCTCTTTCTTCTTCGTTGTAGGGACTTCTTGATTCACTGTACCTTGTACCGCCACTCAAGCTCTAGTGAAAATTTTCCCAAAAACCCTCTCTTAATGGCCAAATGCTAACCCCCCTTTTTGAATTACCTCTTTTTCTATGTTCCAAGCAACTTGAAACCAAAACCTGTGCGCAGGTATCTTTTGATCACCTGTTCGTATAAAAACCAATCGCAAATCCTCACCAAAATGCAACAATATATAAAAAAAAATTTAAACAAGAAAAAAAAAATAATAAAACAGAGAAATCAACCCACCTAAAATTCAAAGGAGACAAATGTCGACCTTCTGTCGAAAAAAAATGTCTGGTACCTAACTGCCACGCGTTTTCCTCACCCCACTAGCGATCTTATGGGGTATCACCAAAAACTGTCTATATCCGTTCCCCCCTACCAATCCAACCAGCGTACCAACCTTAACTCGAGTTAAATTTTGGATATCCACCTATTATAACCAACGCGTGTTGATGGCTAATGTAACTAAATCAACGATGTCGATTAATTAGTTACTCTAATTTCCCCCCTTTTTACAATTTACAACCGCCAACCTCTAACCTAACCAGCCCCCCTACTAACCTCCCCCCTCTTTAGCCCCCCTCTTAAGCCGAAAAATCCCTTAAGCGCCGGGTGCTAAACCTCTCGAGAGAAAACCGTAGACCTGTTTCCAGGCCTGCTTGAGTAAAAACTGCCTCAAAACAATGGGACTCCGCTTATCCAATTTTACACTTATTTCCTATAATGTAATGTGGATTCTTACGATACCCGTTGTTCGACTTGAGAACACCCCTGTGCGTCCTCTTGTAGTGGTCCTGTGCTGGTTGTCTCTGTTCTGCACTTGACAGCAGAACCACTTTTCCACTCGACTGTTCACCTCTTCCAATCAAGTCTCCTAGTGGTCCGTTTCGATCCTTGTGAACCACTTTCCCACTCGACTGGTCACCCTTTCCAGTCAAGTCTCCTAGTGGTCCGGTTCGATCCTTGTGAACCACTTTCCCACTCGACTGGTCACCCTTTCCAGTCAAGTCTCCTAGTGGTCCGGTTGGGTCGCAATCTATCTGAAAACCCTTAACAACGCCCCCCATTCGGGCACCTTACTGAATTCACTGGTTTAAATTGCTAGATTGATCGAAACGATCGGTCTTATAAAACAGTATGTGTATACTATTTAATTAATACAAAGGTTTGATCCAACTAATTTGGTGTCAAAGTCACTGTCTTTTTTCGTTTTATGGTTTTTGTTCCTTTTTGTATTCTTTTTTGCTCGTGTTTTTGTCCCCCTAATTGCCCCCCTTCACTCGGTTAGCTAAGCCTCGTTCGGAGAGCGTACCAGGAAGTTTTCTTGAGTTTTCTTAAAAAGCTTTCACGGTACAACCGGAAGGTTTACACGTTCCCGCTGAACCGTACCACCGGTACTCTAGAATGGGCATGTAGCCCGAAGCTGTGTCAAGTGGGTTCGACTCCGTAGTCATGATGTCGTAGAAACACCCAGGAGCGCCATAAAAACACTATGTAACGTTCGTCTACTGCAGTCACACATGAGGCTTAAGAAAAATAGGCCCTATAACCATTGGCTCAAGAGTCAGGGACACTATCTCTTGTGTTTTTCCACCTCAAATCAGTCGGAGCCAATTCGGTTCGCTTATGACATGGGACCACGACCCGTTACAGCTTAAAGGCCACTACCAAAATACCCCCCACTCTAGAAATAAAAACGTCCCCATACTTAGGTCTCGAAATACCCAAAATACATGAACGCCGTTAAAAACCGGGTTGGAACAATCCGCTTAGTTACTTTTTATTGGACAGTGGAACTTTGATCCATTTCAGATGGATCAACCTAAAACTCGCCTTATCTCAACATAACCATCATAAAATACACTCGAGAAATTTAAATTGAGAACTCACATGTCGATGCGCTTGAGTATGAGGAGTAATTAAAAGATGAGCAGCTTGAGAATCAAATAATATAACTAAATAAGTTTGATGCTAATTAGTTTTAACAACAGAAGTAAGTTCTGTCTCAATAATCAAAGTTTCTGTATGAACCATCGGGACACTCGAATTGTCCTCTCTTCCATTGAATGTTCACTCTGTTCCGTTCGAATAATCGTCCTTTCTCAAGTCTGTGTTATATTCTCCTATTTTCGGGATAAGACAGCTCTACTCTCTTATTATTTCGTATCGAGAAATTGCGAATAGCAATTTCCTGCCTTTTTCTTGAGTAGTTTCCCGCAATTGTTAATTCGGTCGTTCTGATTTTTCACTTTTTGTTTTCAGTTGGTTCGAGAAAACTGAGCATGACAGGCTCCATTCGAAATTTTCAAAATCAAAACTTCACTCCAAAATTACGCGTTTCTCAAGGTCAAACCTCCAGACATGACCGACTGGCACACTTAAGTGAAGGAGTATATTTAAATATTCCAGCCTACGTGACTGTTTTTAATCAGCTAGGGAAACTGATCACTTTGTGGTGACATGAAAGGCTTGGGTAATCTCTCGAAGAGGGAGATTGTTTCATTGTTCTTTCTAACCACAGAGTTTCTTAGTTTTAATATTCAGGACAATAACAAGCAAGGTTTCCGAAGGGACGAAGCATAGTAGGATAATTTTAGCTTGTTGGTTGGCAGGACTGTCCTGCAGACCAACACCTTTTAAATCTAAGAGAAAAAGTTTTAATTGGGACATTGACATTGGAAGTCAGAAAATATGTTTTATCTTAAGTCATATCCTCAATGTGCAGGTTAATGAAAGAATTTGAAGGCTATAGTGATGTAGTATGATGCCATTTATATTCTGCAGTGAGTCGATGTGACGTGGATAAAAGTAATTTCGTGCATTTTGTAAATTCTGTTCGATGACACTGTATCTATTTTACGAACATTGCGTGATTCAATGAGGACATTGACCGGACTGTCCGGGGAGTATGTGACATTCGACCAGAATGTGAAAAATCCAATCTCTGCGGAATTCCAAATTTTAGCAGCGAGCCTTCCGAATTAGTGATTTTAAAGGATTAACGACGTTATTTGAACGATGGGACAAAACGTGAAGGTTGAAGGATTCGGGAATTGCTAATTTTTAAATTTTCGAAGTGATTACGTAACATTTCTGAGAAACGTCAGAAATGGCCATTTTGGCAAAAAGGTCGAAGAAAAACACAACAACATTAGTTGCGCGGACGATAACTACGAGAATCGTGATCAAAAAACAACAGCAGATTGCAGGAATAGCAGAGAAGGTTCCGAGTTGCAACTATTGTGTCGCTACAATAGTTGCAAGGCCGTTGCGGACAACGGTGAAGGGTGGAGGACAGCCTTCCGGATTAAGAAGAAATCAAGATTAACGAGCTTGATTCAGTGGATTCAAGAATCCGGAAGGGTTTCAGAACTGAGACTTTTAGCCTTTTATAAAAACTTTTAGCTTCTTGTCATGTCCTGATTTGAATTTAATTAACAACTGGATTCATTTTGATAAGGATGAGAAGCTAGGAGTTGGGGGAAGGGGTTGATCCATCTTCGATGGAGATGATGATTTTTATCTACTGAACAAAAACAATAGTAATATAATAAGTAGTAGCCCTGTTTTTAGGAGTGACCTCGTGGTCTGGGGATACTGAGACACAGCCATGAGCTCACTATTTCTGCATGTAATTAAGTTAATTTGAGTGTTTTGACCGAAGCCGAAAGCAGTACCGTTTTTGTCGACCCGATGTTAGAAAAGACCACCAAAAGTACTGGCTTGGTAGAGACGGTGAAAAGCATATAAAGCTCTGTGTAGACGTTAGCCAGTCGTCTTAGGACTTAGTTTTATTTTCCGTCGATATGTATCTTCCGGGCGAATGTTACAATGACTCTAACTGCTAATGCTCTAAAATACTGAATAAATATCGGATTCAATTCAATCCGCTCAGGGCATTACAGCAGCTAAAACATCATTACAGTTTGCTGACAGAGTCTCTGGGCACCGTACCTCTAACTCGGACCACCTCCCGGAGATAACGTTCTTATCTCACAATTTCTGTTGCATGTGAGGGTTCTGATTCATCCCGAATGTCCCACTGGACCTTCCTTTACCGCTGTTTTTCTCTGATAAGCACGTAATCGTATCCTCGTGTTACGAAAAGAGGCTTTTATCTTGTTCTATCTTTTTTTCTTCTGGTACGACTGATTTTGGTCTTGCAATCGGCTGTTGTTTTTCGACGCATTTTTCAATCAAAATGGCGTTCTTTTGTTCTTCTCAGAAATATTCCCGTCCAAATCGAAACTTTGAAAATTTAAAGTTCTGGAACAATCTGAGCCTCCTTTTGCCTCTTGTTTTTACAATAACGCCTTTATCGTTATTTTCAGCGTGCATCGGAAAGTTCGGCTGTGCCATCCGGGGGAATGGCACAATTGCTTCCAAACTTGACTTCTCAGTCCTCTTTAGGTTCGGAGATATGAAATTTTTATGGTGTTTGATTTGAATTAATTTATAAGAAAAGTTTTGCTTATTTTAAATTACCAACAACCCTGTAATTGGGTGCTTTCAGGGTTTTCTCAGAGATTGCTGTTCGTTTTTTTTCTAATTTGACCGCTCAAATCAGCTTTGTTTCTGAGATGTGCCGTATTGTTTGTTTTGTTATATTTTCAAAGCACTGGAGGTGCGTTACTCGCTAGTTGTCTTTCAGACTTACGAAAAAGTTTGCTAAAAGAATCAAATGTAAATTAATTGCTCAAATTTGCTTCAAAAAGCTTTATTTTAGATTTAAGGGTCTTTTCAATCTGGCCATTTTGAAGAAAGATTTAGCGATCTTCTTGTTGATGCGTTTCAACGTCGCCCAGTATATACTGTCTAAAGGTGTTGAAAAACCAAGTTTAAAAGTAGTTTTCGGAAATTTTTTGGTTTGATATGACCCAGTTTGTTTCAGACGGAATGAAAATAATTAAAGTGCTTGCTTTGATTGGGCATGGCCTCATACTGCTATGTGGACTTGCGATGTTTTTTTCCTCTATCTATATCATGTCATATCCTGATTCGATTATGCTTGTTCTGGAAACAGAAACTGTCACTGCTATCTCAGCGTTTCTGTGTGCGTTGTCCATTGCTATCATTGCAATCTCTTGCATCGGATTTTTGGGAACATGGACTGAAAGCCCGACAATATTGAAAGTCTTCGTAGGTCTTGTCGTGGTAGCACTTATAATCGAAATTAGTGCGGTTGTAACTCCATTTGGAATGCGTAGAAGATGGCAAGATAAATTCAATGATCAAATTTTTGCCATCATGGATAAATATGGTCAGGATGAGTACCCCTTTCTAACCCATCTGTGGGACGACTTTCAAACCGAACATAAATGCTGCGGCAGCTTTAAACCCGAGGACTGGAGCTTCAGTGCTTACGTGCAGCAGGAGTATTATCCAGTTTTGATCCCGCCTTCATGTTGTAAATCGTTCGAGGCAAAGGAAGGACTACGTTCTCGATGTGTACGGCGACTGGAACCCGACTTGTACTACAACAAAGGATGCCTGACAGCTACTAAGGAGTTAATTTGGAGCTACATGGGAGTCGTGGGTGGCCTAGCAAGTTTTATTTACGCTTTTCAGCTATTCGTTCTCGTAGCTTCTTTCTTCCTGATCCGACAGTTCTCCGATTATGAAGAAGATTACGAATATGAAATGGAAAGGGAGCCTCCTACTTCTGCTCTAAGCCGCCTGAAACCACAACTCAAAGACAACTCGCGATCGAGACAAAAGCCGAAAGAAATTGTTGGGAGCAATGGCAGCGAGAAAGCAGAAATTGACCTGTAACTTTGACCTGTTATGGAAATTTCGTGTATATAAAGATCAAATGAGCTTTCTATTGTAATTTTTCTACGCTTTCATTCTAGCATTTAGATCCCCTGATATCAGTGTTTCTGACATATCGTTTTGTAATCAAATGCATCCTTTTTGATACCTTCATGTAAAAATTTCATTTTTTATCGATTAATTCTGACTGTAACTTGCGATTAGAAGGTCTTTACACAAGCAAAGCTTGTGTGGTAGTATGAACTCTCTTTTTTTCCAACCTAAGTCGCAAATATTATTGCGACGCAAAAAATATTATGGCAACAAAATGCGTTCATTTTGATCAATAACCAGCTATTAAGTACAGCCAATTCTAAGGATATTAACACAGACTATTATATTACAAATAGCCTTTTAGCTTCAAGGTATCATAGATATGTAGCATAGAGGTTGAGAAGGAGACCCGCAACAAAATAAGAGGGTTCGAACCTGGGCAGGGTAGGATTTTTTAATGAACTTTTTGGTATACTAGTTAAAATGATTTACTCATTCAGTTTTTCCAGTAGCGTTATCGGTCATTTTTTTTGCTTGTGTATGCGAAGTGGAACTTCGCCTCTGTGTAAATTTTGTCGTTTTTCTATCTTCCAAAGCTTAGTGCTGTTTAGATTTTAAACAAATCTCAAAACATATCTTTTGGCACATATTAAATTTGCAAATATTGTGATGGCTGAATAAACATTTTCTCTTTAATTGAAGTTTTCTAAATAGCTATTTTTCTTTCAAGTTTTTGAAATATAGATCGCCATAAGATTATTTTGCCATTTCAAATTAACAGCCAAATGCATGACCCAATTTCGACTGTCCTGTAAAATTGGCTCATCAATCGGCAAAGGACAACAGTGTCTCCCCGAGGCTTTGTTAGGTCCAATTATAATCATCAATTGTCCTTCAAACCAGTTGAGATACTTTTGAAATGCTTCTGGGTTGTTGAAGTAACAAAACATCATCGCAGTTCCTGGGTCTTGATAAAATTCGGAGTGTTCCAGGTCATGCAATCTAGAGTATATTGTGTGGATGAATGGTCCTGTAGAATGATTGCTCTCCCACCAAACACGATCAATTTCGACCCCCGTGATGTTTAATTTGATATCGTATTTTGAAATGATCCACTCAAAAAATCCGGTTCCGCTTCCGATACTGTAAATTTTGCTGACTTCAAAAGATTTGAGTACTTCTGATAATTCATGCAAGGAATTGACATCGGGCAATGCCCATGTAATGAATTTCGAAGAGATTTTACTGCTGTTCTCAACAAACGTAAGTAAATTTTGCCAATCGTTTTTCTCCATAAAGTTTTTGATAATTTCGTCATATGTAAAAATTTCTAGAGAATTGTCCATATTTCTGTTCAGTTTGTTTTCCTTCTGCGATTTAATTAAATTTGAACGTTTCAGGTTGTTTGTGTTATAGAATTTGAAACTATCTTCAAAATGAACAAAATTGCCCTGAAATTAGTATCTTGTCCAGTTAACCAAGCTACACGCAATTTTGTAAAAGCCAAATGCAATATAAACTTCTTACGTAACTTGACAGCTATTCCTTGTGGTTCGACTTGTGCATTTTCTTTCCCGGTTCCAAAATGCAATTTCGAAGTTGGAAACATGTGTGCTAATGTATCAGTGCTTAGTAGTCTAGCTAAGAGATCATTTTCTACGTCACGTGATATTAGAAGTCGATCACGTGAGCCAGAGGATACTGACGCAACTGAATCTTACCCTAGATCAGTTTCTTTATCGGAAGCAGTTAAAGAGGAACTGAAATTTGTGGGCAGTGCAACTGAAGGCTCATTCGAGATACCTTTTCCTCTGAATTGGACCATTCAGAAACTGGGAGCAAAAGTGATCATGACAAAAAATAGCAAAGATAACGTGAGATTCGATTTAGATTGGCTGTTTTGATCTGTTGTTTTATGTGAAAGGATGTTTCTTCGGGGGTTAAAGAAATATGACCATCGTTTACACTAGCCAGCAGCGTGGTGTATTAGTACGAACCTTCTTTTTTCTAACCTATTTTAACCTATTTCGCAGATAAAAGTGTTCGCTTATTTGGTGGCAGTTTTGCTATAATCACGATCTGTAGCATTGGAAACTTCATAGCATCTGCTCTATTTTTTTGTGTGATGAATGAAGCGCCCGTTGTTGAGTGGTTATTGCGTGAGACTCGTATTCTCTAGGTCGCCGTAGATGGCAGATCGAATGCGAGACGTAGGCGAGTTTTTACTAATTCGAGGCTTATTTCTATTTTCTTATTGCACTTTATTTATTGCACTTTGTCTATGTATCTTCTTTATGTCGTGTTCTCGTTAGTGTTTGCAAAGCGAAGCTTCGCTTCTGTGTCATTATTTACTCTAACAAGAGTAGGTTCCTTGTAATCGAAAACTTGATTTTTTCCATTCAACAACTTTTCTTTAAACTTGTAAGAGCAAGTGTCTTGAAGTCGTGAACTTGAATTTTTTTCCCGTTAACATATTTTACATTTGTAAAATATGTTGACTTTGCTTTATTGCTGAACCTTGACGACTTCCAGGATCCTTCGCACCTGGTCTAGAGGTAACGCATCTACTCCAAGTGTTGCCAGTTGAGAGTGAAATCAGAAATTTAGTAGCAAAATTTTACAGGTCCTCACCTGCAAAATTTTACTACTACAATTTTTACATATAGTTCCTCTAAGCTGGTAATATCTGATTTTGCACTCAGTTGACAGTAGATGTGTTACCTCGAGGGGGTAAGGCTCTTCGCTTCAATTCTTGCAGGCTTGGTTACCGCTCTGTTTTTTTTTGTTTGATCAAATAATTCGTTCCATCCCGCTTCATTGTGAATAAGTGTTCGTTTTTTTGTATTCATCAACAAATTGATTAACAAGACTGCTCGTTTTAGGCCGAAGCCCTGAATGTTCCGACTGCCTTCTAAGGTCTATGGAGCAGAAATAACATAAAAAATTTAAATGTAATAAAATTAAATTAAAAATAATTTAAAAAATTTTAGATTTTTTTGAAAACATCACCCCACACGTTATATTAAGCACAAAGTGACAATTTTTGCTCCTATTAACCAATCATTTTAAGCTTCATTGAACCAAATTGGAACGGTTTCTGAGACGGATTAAATCTCGCTACGCGTTAATAGCGCGAAATATATCGCGCGTTAAATGTCCAAAATTAACCAGAATGGCAATCTTTAAACCCCCATAGCGTTACGAAAAATGATCACATATGAAATATCTTTTCAAATTTAAGCTCAAGACAACAATAGCTTTCAAATGATACAAAAAAATTCGTCAAAATTGGCTAGTTAAAAAGTCGAAATTTGTCTGAAGAAAAAAAACCCACCCCGAGCACAAATATTCCGTTACTTTTGCTACGAAAGTCGAACCAATAACTTATTTACGTCGTTTGGTTTTTCATAAAAATGTTTTAAACGTGTTCACGCGAAAACATCATTTTTCTATACATCATTCTTGATGTAACAACTTCATGTGTTGTTCCTTATTGAGATAGGTCGTCTTCTGCCAATCCTTAAGATAGTATAACAAAGTGAATGAAATCTGGGAAAGACTCAAAATGTACTCAATTTAGAAGCTAAGAAAACATTGATTAGTTTTTTCATCGATTTTAAATTGTTTTCAAACTTATTATTGTTTTTATTTTAACTCAAGAGGCCGATAACGTTACATCGAGAATTACAAATTGTGTTGCTCTGAATCGGAAAAGGTTTTTGAGTTGATTTTATTCTTTTCAATGGCGTAAATTTTTGACTCTGGTATCTTGTTGACCTTGTTGAATACTAGCAGCAGTTTTGTTCGCTTAAGTCAAATTTGTGCGGACAGATTTGAAACAAAAGGCATTTTTTTTAAATTTTTGCACGGGAAGCTTGTATTCCCGTGTTGACTTCTTTTGGCCAATATATCAGAAGATTTATCAGGCAACTTTTTTTTTTCAAATTTGTCTCTTACTAATTATTTTCGACTTTTTGTCGAACATCTTTATACCTTATTGATCATGGTGCTTGACAGTCTATGGGGGAGGAGGAAAAAGTTTCCTTGATACAAAATTTGATTAAAAAGTAAGCATAAAAGCACAAATGATTTTTGTCTCCTATTTGGCCTAATTACAAGTTTCAGTTATTCACAAAATACGCAAGTTTTTTTAGGACAATGTTTTTCCCTGATAGTTTTTTCGGATATTAGTTTTGGATCCACGGCGAGGTTTTATGGTTTAGCTGCCAGCTTTTTTCTACAAGCGTTCATTTTCAAGCAGCTCATTGGTTTTTATCTATTCGAGTGATAAATAATCATGTACTCGTTTTTGATTTCGTTGCCCGAGCGGGACCAAGTGACTTGTAATCAGGATCTAGTCTTTTTTCCCTTAAAAAACTTAAGATTGATCTGGTATCGGCCTATGTTTGATCAATTTAGTCTGTTTGAATTGCGTCGTTTGAAAAGGGAAGATAAAATGTACGCTTTTATGTGTTTTAGGAGGGTTGGCGCCTAGAAACTTGATTTCATTTCTTCATTGGTCAAAGTTTTGATGACAACTTTTTTTCGGCTAAAGGTAATCTACTCAAAAACTGTCGGGTATTCGCTAAATGACGCTAAATAGTTCTAAATGTTGATTACACTAGCGTCAGCAAAGTGTATTATTAAGAACCTTTTTTTCTAATCTAAGTCGCAAATATTGGTGTACCAATTTTGGGACACCTTTACAGGTTCTTGATAGCATGTGCTTTGACATTTGAATGATAATTAAGTAACTCAGTTTATGCATTTTTAATTCATCAAATGAATCGGAAAAAAAATTTTGTTTGAAACAACAACAATGACAAAAACTCGATTTCAGACATTTTCTAACTCAATTTATCTAGCAATTTTTTGAGATGCATAATTTATACATAATGTGGCGTGATGCTTTGCGATTTGTTACATGCAAAGTTGGTGTGGATGCCTCCAGTTGGTCATATTCCTAATTACTTCTTTCAAAATTGTGTCTATTTGTATTTGGTGCTTTATTCGTGACCGTTGTTTGGCCGTTGTTAAGCGTGTGTGGCTGAGTGATTATTGAGTGAGACTCAATATATTTTGATTGCATTAGGTCGCAGATCGAAATCTAGAACTTATTTTATTGTATTACAAGTTTTCTTTTCCAAGCCAACTAGCAAAAAAAGCGCGCATTTGGTGGCACTTTTGCCATAAACACGATTTTTAGCATAGGAAATTTTATTACATCTGTTCTCTGCTTTATTGAGGCTAATGTTTGTAAAATTTTTAGCATCCGTGTCTGAGTGGTTAGTTCTTGAGACTTCTAATCTCTAGGTCGCAAGATCGAATCCGATATGTTGCTGAATTTTAACTAATTCGTCGCTTATTTCTACTTCTCATTTTTTATAGAGCTCCTTTTTGTCGCATTCTCGCTAGTGTTTGCGTAGGCGATATTCGCCTCTGTAAAAATAGCTTTTATTTTTTATGAGCAATTATCAAGAATTTTTCTGATCCAATGTTGTGGAGACAATGAACGTTTTTTTTTTCTTTTTCGTAGCTGGCTTTGCTTGCAAATCTGTAGGAAGTTGACCTTGCTTTACTATGAGATCTTCGTTTAGCGGCCTAATTGGTGTAGCGTTGAGGCGCCCTCTCGAGATTTTAAAGTCTTAGTTTCAAAACCCAGTTCGACCTTTTTTTGCAATTAATTTTCTCTGGATAAATTTTCCGGCTCATTGGTCTTCGTCCCAATTATTGTTCCGACCATCGAAAATGGGAAGGATTTTGTATTCGGGTATTTTAGTTGTTTTTGTTTTCAACCCAAAATCAGGTGCAGCAAATAATCATCGGAATGGGTTGAGTGATATATCATATTAAAGCCCCTATAGTCGTGATGTGAACCACATTAACAAATTTCACAAAAAAATTCCCAGTCCAGAAAAACAGGTTGAGCGAATAAAACCAGAGAGCAGTATTATTTGAATTGCTTAAAAGCTTACAATTGCTTATACTAAAACGTAAAATTTTAGTTTTACTTGGTAGACGTAAGTTTAATTGGAGTATTTCAGCGCGTTTTTGGAGTCAAAATTCGAAAAACTTCTGGAAAATTTTGATTCCAAAAAGGAGCTAAAATACTCATATTAAACTAACGTTTTGCTAGTAATTTTTCTACGGAACTTGTTTTTCATTTTGCTTATTTAACTATGACTGTCGAATATACCTAATCTCTGGGTTTTTTGTCCAGCTCCTTTTCTCACACCACGCCGAAAAAAAACGACAATAATTTGAAAAAAAAACTTTGTTGTATTTTTTAAGGCTATGGCCGGAACATTTTGACCTCCTTGCGCAGTAACCAGCTATCCTTGTTGTGGGCTTGGTTTTCGTTCTTAAACGTTCTTTTTTTAAAACGATAATTTTAATCGTCTTTAATAATATTTCTGAGTTTTCAACGATTTAATGTCCAACGATGAACTTTTTGCAGATGATTTTTTTGTTGACGACTTTTTTTGTTCGGCTTGGTTTCCAAATTGTATGCATGAGTTTTGCGAGTCCGCTCGTGTGATTATGAAAAAAATTACGGCTTTATATTGAGGTCTTGCAAGCAAGAAGTGTTGTCGAATCGAATATAGACTTTTTCAGGCTGACAGCTTGTCGAATAGAATCACTGAATCATTTCGTCAAACGAAGTTTTCTATCTTTCACCGTGGTTTGAACTTAATTGTTTGCTAAACTTGATATGATGTGCGAAACTTCAAAACTTCGAGTTATTATCAACTTTTTTGGCGCAAAATGTGTTTACCCATGTTTTGACTGCTGAGTTACTGCTTTATAATTTTTGTACATGAAAAATGAAAAAAAAAGCGTTGTTTGAATTTTGAGCATATCGATTTTTTTTATTTTATGAACTTTTTTAATTTGATGGCTTGGCTTGTTTTTTTTGATAGCTTGCCATGATCTGTTTTTGATGTTTCGCAAGTGCTGCGAAGCTTTCATTCTCCTCTGTGTACTACAGGGGTGGATTTAAGGGAGGGAGGTACGTCCGCCCCCCCCCCCCCCGTAGGGGATCGACCCCTGCCGACCCAAGTGGTTCCACTTTGAACTATTTTGAGATTTACTTTGAAGATTTCCCAGCTGAATAAAAACTTTGCCTATTGATCCTATTTTCTCAAATTGAGTCAATTTAATTGAAAAAAGCGGTAAAATGTTCTTGAAATTAAAAGAGCTTTGAGGCCATTTATTTTTTCATTAGAATTTGGAAATTTGTTATATAGGAGTACTTCTATATAGGTCTTGGTTATTTTTTTTTCAGAAAAAACTCCTAAGAATTGTTCACGCTCAATTTTTATTTATCGCGGTTTGACTTTTGATTTCTTTTTAAGTTAAGTTCATTTTTCTCTCTGTCGCAAGTAATGCTCGGTTTCCCCTCCGCTGAGTATGGTATTCCGATTCGGCCGTTCCTCAGAAATTGATGCTCTCAATTTTAAAAAAAATGACATCATAGCATAGAAACATAATGACTTAATAACTCAAATAATATTGAACCTCGCAGATATCAAACGATTTCAGAACGAAGGTTCAGTATAATGCTTCAAAAAAGTAATGAATTTTAGTCAGGAGCACATGTGCGCGTGTCTTTCTCAGTGAACAGTGTAACGGATCAAGAAGTGTCTGAGTCAGCTGAAAGTGACTTGAGTGACGAGGAATCATCTGCAGACATAGATCAAGCATTCCCTTCGGAGGAGGAGGTGACGGGTGAAGCGGGAGAAGAAGAGTTTCTAGACCGTGAAGAGGTAATTCGACCCTTTTTTTAAAAATCATAGTTCAAATGTGTGAAATGGTTCATTCAGGTTGTCTTCAATCATGTAAACGTTTTTGATGTGATTGGATTTTTTGTATAGGTTCGTTGAAATACAAAAATCTGATTCAATATGACGCACCAATTTAGTCCCAGAAACTTAATTTTCTTGATCATAGTACTTGAATATTGGAAAGAATTGATATTTTTGCAGGGCTCAACTACGATTCCACACGAGATTTTGATTGAGATCAAGAAGAATAACAAAATCCTGAGCATCGAGGCCGACATTGACAGCGAAGGACCTGTTTTGAGATCCTTGTCCTTCAATAAAAGCAAAAATACTCAAAATACTGATGAGTATGAAACATTCGAGGTCAACTTCGAGACACTCAGTCTCCCCGTGCAAGACGCCCTGTTCACTTATCTAGAAGAGTTAGGACTCACCGAAGACTTTTTCGCCAATCTTCTAGACTGGTCGCTGAACTACGAACAGTCATTGTTTGTAGGCTTCCTAAATGAAATGAAAAACTTCTCTGAGTAGGGCGTCTAAGCTTCTTTTCTGACTGTGAATAAAATACATCCTTGATATGAAATTGCTGGTCAGTTTGGAAACGAAATTTGTTCAAAGCCTTTTTTTAAAGCTGCCTGAGTTTAAGTTCACATTATTTCAAGCCTAAATTTTTGATATAGTATTTTTTATTGTAATTGCCCTGTTTATAGAAGCGGAATATATAGCTTTGTGTTATACTGGATTTGTATGAAAGTTTGGAGCTCGCGTTCAGTGATAAAACGCTACGCGAATTAGATCAAATGTTCTTCTTTTGGTTCTAAACACTGTTTTTTGAAGCTAAGTGTGGGGTTATTTAAGATTTTTTGTTGACATTGTATAAGCGATGGAATTACCAGTAGGTCAGGGTAACAATAACAATTCCCGTGGTCTCTGTACTTGGATTATTGCTAATGGACTATTAGTCAGAGTTGTTGCGTTTTATTAGTACCTAGCTCATCAGCTGCGATTGAACTCCAGATCTGTTTGCAATCAGAATGGGAAAACACTGGTGCAAAAAACATTTCATAGTTTCGATTTGAAATCATTCTCAAATACAGCTCTGTGAACCCAAAAAATTTACGTTTTTTCACCTGGACGGAAAACATTTTGATCCAGCTTTCTAATATTTGGTTTGATTTATCTGAAAATTAAATCAGTTTCTAAATGTCAAAGAACGAAGAGAAGATACTACAATCCGGCTACTCCCACTATTCTATTCCTACCTCAACAGACTTAACCCAAGTGTCCCCAACGAATGTTCGAAGTGCTTCAACACCCCACACGACACCAACCAATTTTCAAATGTCAACAAAACCCTTCTATACTCACTTAATCTTTCACTCTAGTCCAATCCTGTCGAGGCTTCTGTCTTCCTCATGTTGGATCAACCTTCAAGCACATCAGTCGAGCTGCTCGCTCCTGATGACCAGTTTCGACTCAAAACTGGCTCTTAGCTTCGGCTATGAAATCAAAACCGTTCCTCGGTTCGGTGTTCGGCAGATACGGTATAGACGAAATTAGACACCACACCCATGGTATTGCTATCCTTTCCCGGTTTGACGGCTTGGTGATTCACCGAAACGGACGACGTGACCAGAATCACTAGGCGTCTCAGTTACTGAGATTGGGGCACTTTTTTACCCAGAGACACCCCGGCGGAGGACGCAGTGTGAGACTTGAGCGAGACGACAAAATTAATAATCCTCTTCAACTGGAATTTCTGAAAACAACCAAAACTAAGAAATCAGCCTTCTCTTCTGAAGTACTGAACGAACGAGTTAACTATTCTACACAAAAACGAAGGCTATTTATATCGAAATCTGGTCGAAATGACGAGATTTTATGCGCTACCCCTCGACGAGGCAACAACAGCAAGAGAATACCTCATTTACGTCGCGTTTTCTGTCCTAAAAGTTGTGAACAAATATATTTTTTTCGCGTTTCATTTTCGTTTTCTTTCAAATTGATTTCAAATTGACTGGTATGTAAAAAGGAAAGTAAATTACGCTCTTCAAAAAAAAATGATGGAACGAAAACCTTGATTGACTTTAATCAGGAAGCTCCAATGGAATAATGTGCAGAAAAAGTTAGGTGGTTAACAAGGCGTCTTACGTGTGTGGGTGTTTGAGTGGGCTTAAATACTTTTCGTTTCAAAGTGTTTCATAACTCTTAGGTTATTCAAGAAAGCAATGTTTGTTTGGCATCAAGGGCGTTTGGTTGAATTTTGTCAGCTGGATTACCACTTTATTTTTTCGAGAGGCTGAAATGGGCTTGATGAATCAAAAATCGCCTTGCGCTGAAAATATTGATATCCCAAACCTGCGCTTCCAGGATCAAACTTCTATATCCCGAAGGAAAGACAACAAACGACCGTGCACAGTTCTCAGCCGACCGGACGATTAATTGGAGCAATAGTCAAAAATACCTGCAATTATTCAAGCTTAAATAGCTACTTCGCTGAAAAGTTCAAAGAAGAAATTGTTATTGCAATAAGGTTACTGCTACAAGATAGTATCAAGCGAATTGTGGAAGAATCCCTATCAAGCTTCAGAGTTTACATAAACAAAAGATTGGATGAGAAGCTAGCTGCACAAAGCAATTTGTCAACGTTGAAAACCCTTTCAGAGGCTGAGTGACTGGAGTCATATAATCGTCGAGATAATGTGAAAGTCATTGGACTACCCGAAGAAATCCAACACAGTGGAAATCGACGACTTTAGGAGCAGCAAGAGGTTACTCTGCACAAAGTGGTCGAGTTGAGCCGAGCGATAAATGCTAATTTGGACATGAAGAGATCAATTACGCATCGGCTTCCCTCTCGTGGTAACGGAGAGCGACCCATCGTCGTTAAGTTTTCACAGAGAAGCGCCAAGATTAACTTATTTAAAAAGAAAAGAGGCTAGAAAGAAATTCCGAATTTCAACCGAGTGCGAGTATTTGAAGATCTCAGTAAACCGCGGCTCTTTTTTTTCAACATGATGAAGAATGATTCAAGAATTGGCTCTACCTGGAAAAAGTAAGGTTCCATTTTCTCTCAGTGGAACGAAGATCAATAGGTGCACAAGATTGGTCAACTTTTCGAAAGAAGAAAAATCATGAATTCTTCTTTCGGCGCTGTGATAAATCGTTTTAACAGATATTTTCCGTCCCCCCATCCACAACAAGACAAACAAGACACCTAACTGTGAGATAACCTTACTTAACATAAATATTCGCTTACTTCAAAAGAATTTTGACAAATTGGAAGCAATGAACTGTAGTCTCCTCCATCTAAACTCTGCCTAATTAATTTGGCTGAATGATGATGAAGAACGAAAAATGTATTTAGAATGGTTTAACTCAATATGCCATCAAAGTTCGTGACTCGAAAAGTGGAGGCGTTGTGATTCAAATAAGAGATGTTTTTTAATATCAGTGATGTAATTTACCCAGATACCGCTGGATATGAGGTAGTTCTCCCAATTATTGAAAAAGAGGGTTTGAATTTCAAACTAAGTTATTTTTCGTTCAACAAGAATTGATGAACTAGCTTTCATTGAATCACTCGATAGGTTTTTGAGCATATAACATCACTTGATACACCAACTTTTATTTGTGTGGATTTTAATATTGATATCTTAAAAACCAAATTGATGGTCCAAATTTACAAAAAATCTGATAAATAGCTATAATTTTGAAATACTCCTAGAAAAAGCAACCCGGTTTTGTGAAAATTCTTCATCGTGCTTAATCATTTCATTACTCAATTTTTCAGTTTCTGATCTTGATCTCCAAATTTTCACTGATCACTGTCCAGTTTTACTCAACTAGAAATATCAAAATGCTCGGGAAAGCATCAAAACTATAAGGTTTCGAGATACATCTTTCCTTAAGGATAGTAATTTAGTGAAGAAATATATTTTTCGTTTGAGTCACGAACTTAATAAAACTCTGAAACCATTACCAGAAGGCTCAAATTTTTGTTTTAATCAGTTTCAGCCAACATTTCTAACTGTAACTATTACATTTGCTCCTATCGAGGAAAACGGTGCAAGTCGGTCAATGATGTTGAATGGATGAGCAATTGAATAAAAGATCTCAGAGCCAAACGCAACTTAGCCCGCAGCAATTGGTCAAAAAAATAAAGAAAGCAGAAAGCTTCCTATCAGGTTTAAGTTTTGCGCCGTAATGTAGAAAATGAAGTCATAAAAAGTAAAAGACATTTTTATTGTTCAAAGTTAAAGGGATGTATCGGAGAATAATGGCGTGTATAAATTATTAAACGAACCCACTGGTAAAAGTAGCTATCAAAGCATCACTCCTCCTCTTATTTCCTGCTCAAACAATGGGAACAACGTACCAACTGATTTAGGTGTTGCTGAAAAGCTTAACGTTTTCTTTGCAAATATTGGCAAGACCTTAAAATGACAGTTCCCGTCGTTCCCGCTATACCTGTTGAAGAATCCATTCATTCGTTTTAGCTTTTAAAACAATTGTATTTAAAATAATTGATAGTCTTGAAAATAAAACGTCATCGGGAGACGACAACGTAATCGGGAGACGACAATCAAAGTGTCACAGTCAGTCGTGGCTGAGCATATAATGAATTTGATTAAAAAATCATTTTACAGTGTAGTTTTCCGAAGTGATTTTAAAAATGCAAAAGTTATTCCTCTTCATAAAGAAAAATTGAAGGCGGATGAAAATAATTATCAGCCAATTTGCCTTCGTTTAGTCCGGAGCAAAATATTTGAACGAGTAATGTTCAAAAGAGTTTACGCATACTTTGAAAATATCGATTTGTTTTTTTTTGTAATCAATTCGGTTTTCGGAAAAAGCACTTAACTGTCGATGTTTTGACCGAGTTTACTGAAAAACTAGAATCAATAAATTGAAAGCAGCGAAGATTTTTCTGGATTTAAAAATTCTTTGATACCGTTAATCATGAAATTTTCCTGACCAAATTACAGAGTTATGGTTTAAGACAAAATTGTTACAATTGGTTCGAAACTTATTTAAGAGACCGATACGAACGGGTTGAAATTGGTGATATTTTATCAAATTGGGTTAAAATTGGCTGCGGTGTGCCCCAAGGTTCGATCTTGTGTCCTTTTCTTTTCCTTGTACATATATTTGTATATGTACAGAAGTTTTTCTGTTTGCAGATGATACAAACATAACTGCAGTCCATTCTCAAAACGAGTCACTTCAGGCCGATCTAGGTATTATAAGTAACTGGCTAAATGCTAATAAAAATGCGCTGAATCTCAACAAAATTGTTCGAGTTGATCTAAACTATCAAGGAGTCACGTTGATTGATGATTTGATTTAAAAAAAGGCAACTGTTGTAAATATTTAGTGATCCAACTTGATTCGCTTTTGTCGTTTAAATCACATGGTGATTATATGTACTTTCAAGACTGGGGAAGCAATGCGGTGTGATTTGTAAGTTAAAACATTATGAACCAAGAAAACAATTGATTTATTATTTTCAACGCAACGTAACTCCAATTATTCAATATGGAGTTTTAGTCTATGGGTGTACAAGTTTTTCAAATCTAAACGCGATCTTTTAATGCAAAAGAAAATTTTAAAGCTTTTTTAGAAGAAGGTTTGCTCATTCGGAGTACCTGCTCG